TCTGGCAGTGGTATAAAAAAGTAACAATGGAAGAGCCAGCTTAAGTTTTCCCAAATAACTCTAAAAGGCTGCCATTTCCAGCTGCAGGTAAGATGGAAACAACAGTGGGCACGTAGTTTCTTTCCCCCTTAAGATTTCTGACAGGGCTGTTTCTGATGCATTTGCATGTCTGGCTGAAGGTTACATATCACACAACCTGTTAAGCTTACTCTGGGTACGGATAGTTCAGCCTCAGTAACGCGTTTTTCTTCTTGAGGTGGAGGCAGGGAACACAGGAATCAACCTTAAAAAACTATTTTTCTGCACTTTGGCAGAGAGCAGACGAGTAGCTGCATCTCGCTGCGTGTTCTTGCTACACAGCGACTCCATTGTGGGGTCAATACTGAACTCAGTAATGAGTTCTAGGAACTTTCCTATTATTCCACAGATTTTCCCTAAACCTAGCTTCACTTCCAATACAGGAAAGCTGCTCTTTGGCAGGCAAACTCTCTCTTTAGTAACAAGGTTGAGATCCAGGCTGTCTGTGCTTGGCTCTCACAGCGGTCTTGCACTCACCATGAAATTTCTGAAGCAGACACTCCATGAGACAAGTCAGTGGCAGCACAAGCAGCGCCAAAATAAACGCCACGTTGAAGTTCAGAAAGCCGTTGATGAAATAGAAGGACCAGGGTTCCGTACCTAAAGGATGAGAAAAGGAAACAAGAGTTTTTGGAAACAAGCCTGTGTGAGATCTAGATCTAAGAGCAGCTTCGTTCCTTGTCTGCCTGACACAGACCAAGATAATCGGCAGCAGACATCAATTCTCCCCACTGCAAGCATATTGGAACTGAGGAACGGAAAGGGCGTGGACAGAAGATCTTGGAGCTGGCCAGAGGATGCAGCCCCATGGAATGAGCCTGAGCAGTCTCAAAGCAGTCTCATGGTTCTGCCCCTCAGCCATAGGACTGCAGTAACAGCAGCATTAGTCAACAGCCTTACAAAGGCACCAGAGTCTCTCACAAGCACGTCTGCTCAAGAAACTTCACTGTCGCCCTCTTCAGAAATTATTTTTCTCCTTCCTGTTTCACTGGGTCATAGTCAGTATCCCGTCTGCTGCTCACAAATCACGGGCCACTCTAACAGTCAGCCTTGCCCAGCAGCATTCTGTGACACAGAACTCACCCTTGCATTAAGAAAGCCTACACAGCAAGAGAGCAGAAGCGGAAACTCGTAAAACTCAGAAATTCATTCTTTCCAACTGCAGAGAAGTAACAGAGGAGTAACACAAACAACGTTAATATGAGACCATTATAATTCTGGAGTGATGATGTATACTCCATGTCGGCAGAAATAGAAAATGCACCACAAAGCAACAAGAAAAAGAGTTCACGTTCACACTTCACCCCCAAAGACAACTCTGCCACTAAAGTTCATCCAGATGCTGGTTTTGGTATGTCCTCAGAGTTAACACTAGTTAAGATGTCCCTACTTCAGTTTGTTCTTACGGAGTAGCTTCAAAGGGGAGCAAGCCAACTCTGCCTCATAACACAATGCGCTTGGGTACTGGTTGCAAGTCTCCAAGGATGTAAATTGAGAGAAATTCCAGTCCAACTGTCAATTATTCGGACTCTTAATCCAGGATGCTTAAAATCCTGAACAATAAGGAATGCCAGTTCCTCTCCACACACTTGCCACTCTCTCAGTGTGATTAGCTCAATCAGTCAGTAAATGACATGCGGGGGCTTTAATCACTGCACTGTTGTGACATGTGTCACATGCCGCAGCAATTTCCTGCAATCAGAGCCACTTAAATAGGGTCCATGTTGAAATTCATCAGACAACTGAAAAGCAGCAAGGAAAACCCGAAACCTCTGCAGCTCCTACAGCTAAATACGATGAGAAGCTGCACTAGTAGTGTCAGAAATGTGTCGCTGGAGTTACTAAGGACAAGTCCAAGCATCTAAGGTTCATCAACCTCTTCCTCCTTCTCTAGACTCTGTCGGTGACTATCAACATCCAAGGACTGCAATTCGAAGTAATTCCTGTGACAGAGCTTGGAAGCGTGCAGAAAGCAGGTCATTTTAAGACTGAAGTGTACGATACTTCCTAGAAATCAGCGCTGCTGGCTGGGGTGTGTCTGTGAGGGAAAACTTGAGGCAGTCTGAGACAGAAAAATTCAGGCAGAAAAAGTGTGTGTAAAGAGGGCTTTGGTTTCGTCCCGGCCCTGCCGCCCCCAGATTCTCTTCTAAGGCCATGGCACAGGTTTCTTAAGACTTAGAGCAGGGTTAACACCCATCAGGCCACTCTACTAACTACTTCTGTGGAGCACCAAGGCCTCTCCTTATGTAAGAAAGGACTGGAAATGGGTTCCGTAGCCTGCTTCCCCACTCCCACTGTTACGAACAACAGACACTTTACCACAGAAGATGCCAGGATGGGACAGAAAGCCTCTTAAACTGATACAAACTGTTGCCCTCCCGTGTCTTCTGGCCACAATTAAGCTGTACAGCACAGCCAAATGGGCTTAAAGTAAGGTGCCCAGCCCCATGCCTGTCACCGGCTGAAGGCCTGCATGCAGCCAGGAACCGTAGCTCAGCTGCTGAGCAGTAACTAAGCCACAATAATTTGATCGTGAGACACAACCCTCATCCCCAGCCAGTCTGATTTCAGTGCTGGTACAATAAACGGTCTGCTTTCTGCATTTCATTTATTTTCACCCTATTTAAGAAACAAGACTCAACAGAGCAAGGTGTTATAAAACAGCTCCAGCACGCTGTGCCTCCCAAAGTGCCATGGAACTGCAAGTCACAGTCGCAGCTCTGACAGGAAGCGGCACAAGACTTTTGTCACAAATTTGTGCCTTCTTAGAACCTACGTACACAAAAACATCCCCGAGCCTCAGATTCAGGCTTAGAGATATATGCTCAGAAGCTACTTTCCCTTGGCTGTAGAAACCTCATCACCCCAGGGAAATCTTCACTGCACAGACTGTATTTAAGCAGGAGCATACTGCTCAAGACAAAAAAAAAGAACTCCAGCTGCAGACAAAAGGAAAACTGCTGTGGTGTTTATATTGAAGATGATCTGGGTTGATGACTCTGCAACCTCCAGCAGTCCCATCGTGTGAAAGCTGGGAAACCCCAGCTCCAAAATCAAAAGGGACTGGCCAGCCTTTCATCTCCCCTGGTAGTGTTACTTTTCCCAAGTGTTTTAAAGCTCTCTAAACACACAGCGTTGTCCTGGCCACACTGCTTTAAAGAGCAATGTCAAGCTGGCTCTTTTACTAGTCGGAAGATCTTGTATGAATGTCACTATGAATACCACACTTCAGAATAGATTGGTCCCTGGAGGCTTCTGGAAACAACTTCCACCAGGGTGGAAAAGGTCAGGCACGAGCCTATGCCAAAACCTATCAGAGACAGAGCCTGGAGTTTCCTCACAGAAAATTCACTGCAACAGACCTCAGAGCCTTCCTGCAGAGATGAAAAACCATGGCAAAGCAGCTGTTGCCCTGCTGTGCCACAGCACAAGTAACAAATCACCAGTCAGTGCCCCGCAAAACAGCCCTTCACATCAACCAACAAAGAGGGCCTGCAGGGTACTGCCAGAGAAAGTCTTGCTGCTAACCACATCCCTCCTAGGATACCTCAACAGGGCTTCAACAGATGACAGAGGTGACACAGGACCCTGCACCCTAAGCAGGTCTCTGCCAGCCCCGCCGAAGCCCTGCTGCAACTACAATACTTTCCTACTCTTCAGCTCTAGAAATACATGATATGAACAATGTAGTACAGTGGCAACGTCCAAACCAACAACACAGCGTTGCCATCAAGATTCAGACCTGAGATTTGGGTCACAGGGTATCCAAACAGTCAGTACCAGGGAAACCCTTCTAGGCAGATGATCTGCCTGCACAAACGGTCAGTACCAGGGAAACCCTTCTAGGCAGATGATCTGCCTGCAGATTAGATGCCTTGATGGTAACCTCAGATTCTGCTTAGCAGCCATACACTACCAATAAGCAAGGAGATTCCCAAGGCACGGCATGGACTCAGGAAGTCTGCAGAGTGCCAATGTGAACTGAAAGAACTATAGATTCCACGTTGTTACTCACTTTCCCAAGGTTCTGCACCCTTACTGCGAGGAACAACATCCAAGAACTCAATAAAAGCTGACAAACACACACACCTATCACATATGCCCACAGCACTCCTGCAGCATCCAGACACGCTTGCTAGGAACAGTCCCCTGCAGTGGCGCTGAGACATCTCACGACAGTTTACACCCTGATGGTTTACAACTTGAAAGTGGACAAAAGCAGCTCAACTCACAGTGTGGAGAAATCTGACAGCGGCCTGCGGATTGCCAGGTCGAGGGAGATACCATGTGGCAAAAAGCTGGAACTGCAGCCCTTTGGAGCTCGCAGGCTGCTTTTGCTTTAGAGTACGTCAGAAAAAGGATTGGCAGTCAAGACCTGGTGGGTCATAGTGGCAAGGCAGTAGAAAGAAAAGCGCCAATTCCCTTCCTGTCTTGTTATCTTAAACTCACCATAGAGATCAGGTCCGTGAGAGGTGAAGACATTGTACAAAACAATGTTGAGAGGTGCAACTACCAGCTTCCCATAGTAATAGCTGTCCACAACTACCAAGGGCACCTGGAAGAAAGCATCTATTACTTGAAGGGCCAGAAGCTTTGGGCTCAACTGCCCAACTGCTCCGTGAGATTTTCTTAATGGAACCCACCCCTTCTACTGCAAGCCCAATCCATTCTCCCTTTGCATTATTACAGGCACTTACCAAAAACAGGATCAGTGACACCACACACCAGTTGAGGAAACTTTTCCACCTCTGCTTCAGTATCAACAAGTCAAAGGCAATAGGAAGCCTGAAAGAGAGAGCAGGTATCAACTGGAGACTTGTTCTTTCCCCACTCCAGGTCTTCCTGCCCCTTCAAGGCGAGAGAGGCAGTAGCTGGAAGAGAACCATCACAGGGCGCTCTCTGCTCCTACTCCATATTATAGTCATCCAACTCAGGTCTTGCTCTCAGTATATTAGGGTCAGGAAATCTTCCCAACCCAAGTTCTTCAAAAGCAAAGAAAGGAAGCTATGGAAGCCCGTACCAATGAACCTCAACTAGGCTGGCAGCTCAGCCCGTGATAGTTTCCTTCCTCCAGCTCTCCTACATTCTCCCCAACCAGGCAAGAAACATCTGATGAAGTGCAAAACGTAGGAGCCTTCCCCTCCTTACCCAAGAGCTGCACTGAAAGGCCAGCCCAGAAGGGCTCCAGCAGCCACCCCCAGCACTGCTACGGAAGTCTTGTCCATATACCAGCCAGTCATGGCAATCACCGTGGTGTACATGCAGAAACTGCTTGGGAGGAAAGCTGCAACACAGAGAAAGAAAGGGATTAGCAGAGTTTTCCCACACTGGGAGAAGAGCATGAGGTCAAGATAAGGCTAACCATCTCTCATTCATTCCATTGGAGCTGGGATGCCATACTGAACACTCATTTCAGTGAAAGCACAAAAAAAAGGAGGATTTATTTTTTATCTGCCGAGACCAAAAAATACTTCCTTTAAGAACGAAGGTCCCTTTCCTCAGTGGCACTCACCAGTGGTAACCAGTTGATATCATCCACAGTTAGCATGTGTAACACTTGCAACCTCAATACTCTGCTAGGCTGAAAAAAATTAAACTAATCTGCTCAAGTGGCAGCAGAAAATGTGAGCTGACTGGGTACAGTCTCTGAAACAACTGGGTAGAGACTGCTGGGAAGTGAAGAGTAAGGAGACCTATGACAATGAAAAACAATGAAGGGAGAGTCCTTTCTCCCCTCACCATAAACAAAAAAAAGGTTAAAACACGAAATCTTAGCATTCCTAAATTGTGGTATTTCCCTTTAAGTTTCTGTATGGACACAATACAGAAAACCTTCACTCCAAGTCTCTCTTTGCACTTCACTCAATACCTCAGCAGGTGTTTTCTAAGTCTTTGGTGGTTGGCTAGGCAAATGGCTACAAGCAGCCAGAGGGGACATGACACAAAGGCCAAAATATGACCCTTCTTCCTTGGATTAAAATATGTTCAAGGAAGGTAGGCCAAGATCCTGCATGGCCCACAGCAGAGAGACTGGAGTCAGCAATAGCAACAAACATGCCCTGAAAATGGAAAGATACAAGAGTGATGCAAGGAATATCGTTTGAACCAACACTTATTCTGTCATCACACCTGCCATGAGCAATACCTGCAACCAGATACAAGTAACTGCTAGAGAGATACTTGAGTGCTGTAGATTTTAGACTCTCTGGATCAGTCTTTGGTTTCTGTGAACAAAGTAATTGCTAGTGTCACTGCCAAGCAAACTTACCTGCGGATGAGCAAAACATCCCAGTGCTGAGTACTAAGAAGGCCAACATCAGCCGGCTCACATGTAGCCCGAACTTCTTGCACACAGCCCTAAGGAAGCAAGGGAGAATTAGAGACCACAAAAATATCCCCAGTACCTAAAAGAACAGTACCCATATAGTCAGGCTTTTGCTCTTAGGGCATGTAAACACCATCGGTAGATACATTACGACAGCAACAATGAAGTCCAATAAACCTCACGATGATAAGCAAACGCAGCACCAGTCAGAGCTCAACTTACAACACTCCCACCCTGCCCACTGGTATCGCTGAGAAAACAAGTGTAGTCAACAGTGGAGATGTGGGTGGCAGATCTGAGAATACAACTTTATCCTGATGGTGGAATTCTGCCCACATACATTACAGACAGCAATGATGAAGTCCACTAAACCTCACGATGATAAGCAAACACAGCAACAGTCAGAGCCCAACTTACAACACTCCCGCCCTGCCCACTGGTATTGCTGAGAAAACAAGTGTAGTCAACAAAACACTGGAGTGGAGATGTGGGTGGCAGATCTGAGAATACAACTTTATCCTGATGGTGGAATTCTGCCCAACATTTCATGAAGTTATTGTGAGAACAAGTATTTTCAGGGTCCACTGTGAAGTGGCCCCATTTACCATACATACCTACGCACAAGCTTCAGAGTGTAATTCCTCACATTGCTCCAAAACATTCACTGGACATACCTACACACGAGCTTCAGAGTGTAATTCCTCTGTCAGTAACTGAATGTTACTCACATTGCTCCAAAACATTCACTGTAGACATGTTAACATGTTATCTAATACTCACTTGTAGAAGTAGAGTTCACAAACGCAGCTCAGGAAGGCCAGGAAGCATCGGAGGAAATAGAAGATAAGAACCTAGGAGACATACTCAGTCTGAACAGGGTTTGCAATGAAGCTTGTGCACCTATTACTAACAAGTCAGTCCCAAGAACAGAAGTTCTGAAGAGGATGAGTGACGTTTGACAGTGGTGAATGAGCCTATTCCTGTAGGCCCAATCCTGCACCAAGGGATGAAGATCCCAGCAGCTCAAGGCCTAGCCCTCTAACACTGAATTACAACACAAAAGGTGAACACAGTCCAGTTCACTGAACTTACCAGAACTCCCTCTCTTTTGTTTTCTGTTGGGCAGAAGCATGCCAAGTACAGCAATGGATACTCACGCAGAACGCACCTTCTGTGCTTTTTCTTTTACCTTCCTGTGAGTTCAGTGTGCAGTATCCCTTGCTAAAAACTAATTTATTTTTTATAGTGTACCGAACAAAAAAATTAAAACAGTCATTGTAACTGGCATAGAAAACAATACAGGCTTCTAAAGCAGCAGGGTGAAACCCACAGGGATGAATGAGAGCCCGTGACTGCCAGGTAACTGTCACCAGGCCTGCACACACTCAAAAGGCCAAGGAGCTACTCGCCCCTGTGGGAGAGCTTTTCCACCAAGCTGGAGCCTGACAGCATTTTCCTGCACCTTCCAAATAATTTTTCCCTGGATCCCCTTTGAGTTAGCTCACAATCCCTTGCAAATCCTGGAAGGGAGGTTAGTGTTTGTAAACAGATTAATGTTTTGTAAACCCTAATTCTCTTACCTCTAACTACAAACAAAGCGGCTGTTTAACACAAACTAAAGGCGTGTGTATTCATCACAAAAGAAGCTTTCACACATCTGATTTACCTTGTTAGTTTGTAGAACTCTAGCGTGGAACAAGGCTGGTAAGGCATGAAGCCACAAGTAAGCGTAGGAGCGGATGGCATAGGCTGGAGAGTATTCCCACGTCTGAAACCCCTTTCCATAAACGAGGTAGTGTGTCTACAATGGACATGAAACAAATAAACAGGCATCACACAGAGCAGCCGGTTTGACATTTCCCATCTCTCAACTCCTGAGTACAAAATTTTCTCCCTGGAACACAAAGATCAGAACAAAGTTCTACACAAACCTGCATTTTTTCCTCTCTGGAACACAGAGATCAGAACAAGGTTCTACACAAACCTGCATTTTTTTCTCTCTGGAACACAGAGATCAGAACAAGGTTCTACACAAACCTGCATTTTTCCTCCCTGGAACACAGAGATCAGAACAAGGTTCTACACAAACCTGCATTTTTTCCTCTCTGGAACAGAGAGATCAGAACAAGGTTCTAGAGAAACCTGCATTTTTTCCTCTCTCGAACAGAGAGATCAGAACAAGGTTCTACACAAACCTGCATCTGCACAGGCCAACTACAAATTCCCAAGTATCTCCAAGGAAAGAAAGCCACTTACCGGTTCCCAATAGTTAAACGTCTCATCACAATCAGAGATGTTGCTTAAGAGCGCTGCACAGAACCTGGCTGAGATGAGACACTTGAAAGCCGTTGGTCCTTCCGGGGCCCAAACTTGTCCTGCTTTGCTCCCGGATGATCTAGCCCAGAGAAAAAACACACATATGCACCATGAGGATCCAGTAACAAGATGCAGATCAGCAAGGTGACACTGGGCAAGGGACTGACAGGCATATTTGCATCCCATTCAGGCTTTTCTGTAAGTGCAGACGAGTCCTTCACGCCCTGCCTCCTCCGGGGGATGCAAGTCCCCTCCCGAGGAAGGGCCATCATCCTGCCTGACCTCCGCGGAGCGACGGCCCGCAGGGCTTAACCCAAGCCCCCCAGGGCCGGCCCGTCTGCCCCCCAAGAGCGGCGGCAAGGCCACGCGTTGCTCGCGGCAGGGGCGGGAGCAGCTCCCCCGACGGGAAGCCCCTTCCCACCACCCGC